GGTACGAGTTGTGTCGAGCTATTCATTAGTCTGTTTGATGAGAAAAATATGAAATGTAGTTGCAGTAAAATGGGTAATTAATCCATACAACTGCAGCAGCAGAGGACTATTATTCTGCTGTATGATACTGCAGAAGAACTGATGACAGCGCGTTTGATCTTCGGCTGACCAATCAGCATAAAGGGCCGTTTAATTCCCGCCCACATGTAGAAATCAAATATTCAAGCTGTTTATTCATTTTTCTACCCCTGAGCGAAAAAATAAAATTTAAGCGGAATTCTCTTTTTTCAATTTTTGGAAAAAAAACGAAAAAGGAACCGTTTTCTCATTTTTCTACTTTCAATATTAAATCAAAAACCGAATGATCGAATGATACACGGATTTTTTTGCTGTCTCGGTCTTGAGCAGGAAGGCTTCACAAAAATGAACCGAAACCCTGCGAATATTCTATTTCATCATGGTAATTACTTGCTGGCGTTTTGCATCAAGCTTTGCGTGCGCTTTAACATTGAACTCTTCCAGCACTCGCTGCTGCTGGACACTAAACACCGTCAGTCGCAGTAGCACGGTCTCGTGTTGTTTCCACCAGCGCGGCAAATATTTGTCATCACCATAATAATTGATGGATATCTAAAATATAAAAATAAGGAGGAAGCAAGCCTGATGCCTGGCCCGTGTCTGAGCTATGACGTGAAAATTGTCCCGAAGCCATAAATAATTTGGGGCCGTTGGGCTCGGGCTGAAATGCAGGGCTCTAAAGCACAGCTTGTTGCATTTAAGCAGCAAAAATACACACAAAATGACACCAAAATGACCATCCTGGCCACAGTTAAATAAATAATAATATTCAGTGATGTGATATGTGAAATGTGGAGTAAGGTCTGGCGCAGTTGCAGCTTGTACTTATTACTAAAACAAGAAAGCAAACGAGTAGCATTAATTGTCATTCATTTTAGTTAACATATGCTATGATAATTTGAACAGATTTGTATTCTTATTGTAAAATAATGGAACATTTAGGTCATGAATATTGTCTCAAAAGTCATGGAAAAGTCATGGAAATTTATTGGTAAAAATGTGTACGAACCCTGCCTGAAGTTTAACTGACTTGGTGTTATACTGTGATGATTGACTGTGATGTTCCCTTAATGTTTTACACTTTGAAATGTTGACTTGTGAAACAAACTGAACCAAATAAAAAATGGAACATTGTACAAGTCTGAAAATGCCTTACTCTTACCCTAGTTTTGGTAGAAACACTTTAGACATTGGATTGATTTATTATCAAAATCCAAACTTTCAATCTTTAAATATAGGAAATAAGAGTGGACCCCACTGATGGTCTTCTCAGCATCAAGACTGATCAGAGTAACTAGTATCTTAATTCTTTGAACTCTATTTATTTTATGTACACTTGTACATAAACATACATTAAATGTAACAAAAAAAATTTTTTTTTTGTTACATTTAATTAAAAGAGTTTAAGCAAAATTATTTCTAAACATTAAGTTCACTGAAACATTTCGTCTCAATTTCAAGTTTACTTAATCCATTTGTGTTGGGACTGCCTGAATAATTTGTTGAATTAACTGAAAATGCTTTGCGTTTCCAACCATACTTTCTCTGATCAGCATCTCTAGTCATCTGTTAATTGATCTATTATTTCATACTCATTGATTTTTAGTTCATTAAATAAAGTGCAGACAATTTGGTGTTAAACAAAGGTCTGTTGAATGCGCTCATAATGAGGACAAATGCTCTTTCTTCATTTTTAGTCAGAAAAGCAACATGAAAGTCACTTTCCACAGTTATTTCATGTTGTGTAGCTTGTTTTTTCTCTTCTTCAGCAAAAAAGAACCTCTAATCTTCTCTTGGTTTGTGTTTCAGATGTTCCTGCTCAACGGGATGAAACGAACAGAAAGTCAGTGGTGGAAGGAGATTCTGTCACTTTAAACCCTGGTGTAATATATAATCCAAATGATTCAACGACGTGGTATTTTAATGACACTCTAATCGCTGAAATCGCTGGAGGTCAGAGTAAGATCTGTGCGGATAATGAGTGTAAAGAGAGATTCAGAGACAGACTGAAGCTGGATCATCAGACTGGATCTCTGACCATCATGAACACTAGAACCACAGACTCTGGAGTTTGTAAAGTACAGATCATCAGCACCAGCTTCAGTATCATAAAGAGCTTCAGTGTTACTGTAACTGGTGAGTATCATTTAGTCATTCAAACTCTGCAGCCACTTTCAAGGGCGAAGCATTTGGCATCTTAAACGAGCTTCAATTGTATCACCATTAATGCAGAGGAGATGAGCTTTTTTATTTCATAGAATCTGCATTCATCTTAGGAAACATTGTAAAAATGAAGCTTGTCTCAATTTTGACATCAAATGCAGCTCAAATAACATCTATTTCATTGGCATGAATGGGAAAAAATGTGGCAAAATATGCTTTAAAAAAGTCCCTGTAAGTGACTTGGTAAAAAGTTGCTTTGGATGAAAGCCTCTGCCAAATGAATAAAAATGCAAATGAAAACATGTCAATTATGAGATTCAGCATTTTTTAGAGTGTAATATTCATGGGTTGTATGATGTTCATTAAGTTGTTCAAGATCATCTATGAGGCACATGTATGTTTGTGTTTTTGTCCCATGTCAGCAGTGATTTATATTTAATGTTCTTTTTTTTCTTCTTCGGGTTTTTTCGGTGTTGATACAGATGGAGGGTCAATGTCTGTGATGGAAGGAGATTCAGTCACTCTACAGACTGACATTAAAACAAATCAACCAGAAAGGATTAAATGGTATTTTAATGGCTTTCAAATAGCTGTAATCACTGGAGATCTCAGTTTTATCTGTACAGATGTTCAGTGTGAAGATGGTGATGAGAGATTCAGAGACAGACTGAAGCTGGATCATCAGACTGGATCTCTGACCATCAGAGACATCAGAACCACAGACTCTGGACTTTATAAACTACAGATCACCAGCAGAAGAGGCACAATCAGTACAAAGATCTTCATTGTTGCTGTATCTGGTGAGTCATTATGTATAAAAGCAAATTTTGTAATGTGTTGAGTGATGTGTTTTTTTCTCTTTATCTGTAATTCACAAAGTATATAGATCATGTTTTTTGCAAGTGCATTTACTATTAAATTGGAATTTGTCAATGTAACTAGCCTATACATTTAGTTAAGTATGATTTTTTTTAAAGTTGACAATTGATTTTTGATTTTTTTTAAGTTGAGTTTTTATTTTTTTTAAGGTTTGTCGCTTGATGTTTTAAGATATTAATATATGATAATTTAAAAAAACACAATAAGCAGGCCCTACTGTAACTCATATCATTACAATCATTACATTATGCAGTGCAAGTTTTATAAATGTTAACCATCTTTAATATGTATGTATGTATGTATGTATGTATGTATGTATGTATGTATGTATGTATTTATTCATCCTCCTGTCAAGTATTCCCTGTTTAGTGTTTTGATCATTTTAAGTGAAGTACTTTTATGGGTAATATTCATAATGGGTCAAATTCATGGAGTCTGAAAATCCTTGGTTGTATGAATCCAAAAATTTGTATATATAGAGAAAAGTGTCTGGGTTCTGTCACATCTGTCTGGCTTATTCATGGTTTTGTGACAGCCCTGACTGTCATGTATGGGGTTGTGTGATGCACAAGATTATCCATTACATGTATGTTGTGTAATTTTGTTTAGCTTATAATTAACTTTTTTTCTTCTTCAGGTTTTCTTGGTGTTGGCGCAGATGGATTATCAGCATTTGTGATGGAGGAAGATTCAGTCACTCTACACTCTGATGTTAAAACAAACCAACAGCAATCTATTAAATGGTTTATTGATCAAATATCCATTGCTGTAATCAGTGAACTTTACAGTTTTAAATGTACAGATGTTCAGTGTGCAGATGGTGCTGAGAGATTCAGAAACAGACTGCAGCTGGATCATCAGACTGGATCTCTGACCATCACAAACACCACAATCACAGACTCTGGACTTTATAAACTACAGATCAGCAGCGGCAACACCAGTGAAATTGAATTTGGTGTTGAAGTACATAGTGAGTCATTAGGTTTTTATAGCAAATCTTGTACATTTAAGACATTTTACATCAATAATGAGTTTAGTAATAGTCTTGTTATGGAGAAGATGCCAGTTTTTCATCAAACAATCTCTGATCATCTTTTCAGAGGATTTGATGCAAAATGTGTTCATAAGCACAAAATGTCGTCAAATGTTGCTTGTCAGAAAGCACATGAATACCAATTTCATATCCACAGATTTTGCATGTGGTTTTAGTTTGTTTTTATCTAAAGATCTCCAATCAGCTGTTGGTTTGTGTTTCAGATTTTTCTGCTGCGGAACGAGATGAAATAAAAAGAGAAAGTCAGTGAAGGAGGGAGAATCTGTTACTTTAGACACTCGTGTAATGAAAAAACAAAGCAATTCAATAACATGGTATTTTAATGAGACTCTCATCGCTGAAATCACTGGAGATCAGAGTAAAATCTGCACAGATGTTCAGTGTGAAGATGCTGATGAGAGATTCAGAGGCAGACTGAAGGTGGATCATCAGACTGGATCTCTGACCATCACAAACACCAGAACCACAGACTCTGGAGATTATCAACTAAATATTACCAGCAGCAGGATCACCATCATTAGGAGCTTCAGTGTTTCTGTCATAGGTGAGTATCATTTAGTAATTCAATGTATTTTCCAAGTTTTAGAATACGGTTCGTAAATTTTCACTGTAGCCTGTTTAAAATGGTGAGCTGTGTGACTCAAGGTTAAAATATAACACATCTCTTATCACCCTCACGGTACACATCAAGTGACACAAGAAGCATGTGCTGTTAACAAGTTAACTATGAAACACTGCGTAATATTAGTCATTGTTCCAGTGAACTCTGTTGTTTACAGTGATGCTGTTTTAACTGCTGTTCCTCAAAACCCCACTAGATTTGCCAGCTATCTCAATAGCATACAACTGATGACCAAAGTAGAATGGCATAAATATCAGTCAAATATATTGATAAATATTGGATCGCTTTATCATTCGCTCACTAGTAGAAATGACTATCTGTCTTCAGCTGACCTAACAGGAATATATGCTGCTGTTTCTGCTGTTCTGCTGCTGGTGGTTGCATCTGCTGGTTTAATTTACTCTTGCAAGTGTCATTCAAGAAGGAAATGTGAGTGTTACATACAGCTGATTTAACAAGATGGAAATGTGACATTTAAAAAAAATGTGAGAATGTTTTGTATTTTACCCTAGCCACGGTAATGTTTAATTGAGTTTTTGTTGTTCGAACAGACATCAGGACCCAGCACAATGATCAGGTGAGATACTATTAAAAAAACACATTTGTCTGTCTGCCTTTAGTTAGTTAGTTAGTTAGTTAGTTAGTTAGTTAATTAATTTAAAAAACACATTTAGATCTATTAAGATGGCAACATTTATGCGTGTGTGCAGTTTGAATCAGAAATCATTGCATAGAAACACCAATAAAAACTGACACTTCAAGACAGCACTGCTCTGCTGTTAAACTTCTAGAATGACAAACAGCCTTATGAATGTATTTTATATTATTATACAATTAAAATTATATATTATTATCATTATATTATTATTATAATTACATTTGTTTACTATAGGCTGTTAGGACCCTGGTCTACCCTAGGACATAACATAATAACATAAATGCTTCTAACAAATGAACTCCCATATGAACTAAATGACATAAGATGAAAACTAAAAAGTGCAGTTTTATTTATTGACCATGTAAGAGTACATTCTAATGAATCGGAATCGGAATGAGCTTTATTGCCAAGTACACCTATACATACAAGGAATTTGTCTTGGTGATGACCTGAGGAGTGACATTTGTCTTGGTCCAAAGTAATTTTACCAGTGCTTTTTATTCATTCTGGATGAGTATAGTTCCTTGAGATTGTTTTTCAAACCTCCAATAATAATCATTGAGGTCATCAGCCAGCTGTTGATTCGCCAGAGTGGCCTTCTTTTGGCCTGACAAAGCTGTCTTGAGTTTTGCTGTGAACCATGGAATTGTCATTGTTTATTTTACATTAGTCCTGGAAGGAATGCATGCATCCTCACAGAAACTGATGTATGATGTTACAGAATCAGTGAGCTCATCCAGATCAGTGGCAGCAGCTTCCAAAACACTCCAATCAGAGCAGTCTGCTCTGTTCATTTATTTTCTGTGAATCTGTATTTTCTTACAGGTGAATGGTGTTGAAGACTCGTCCACTGATCAGACAGACTCTATTTTGATGACTCCTGCCAGTCAGATATTCCAGACTGAGACTGATGCTGTCAATGAGGCACCAACTTAACATTATTCATTGTTATGATTCTTTCATAAAAGAGGCAGTGAAGAGAAGACAACACTCAGACAAATAGTGTTTCACTTTGACAGCAAAAGGTATTTTTTAGTAATTTAAATAATTTAAAAAATATTTCTGCTACATTTTTTATGTCTGTATACTTTTACACAAATGAGAGACAAGAAACAAAAGAACACGTTATCTGCAATAAAACAGAGCGTTTGAGGTTTTTCAGTATATTTAAACTGCAAGACAAGCACTCTTCACAGAACAGCTACCAAACAACATGTCTACTGCTGATACTGGTAATGTTAGATTTGTATAGTTTTAGTACTAGCATCTTAACAACACTACACTCTTGTCTCTAGCATTCATGTTACTCTAAGGCCTTGTCCACAGTAATACATTTTCATTTGGATAAAAAAACTTTTTCTCTCCGTTTTGTCCTTCCGTCTACATTGAAACAGCAATTTTTATTTATTTATTTATTTCAGTTGTGTGGACTGTGGAAACGGTTTTTTGAAAACGATGATTCATGTTTAGACATGTGACAGTGAATGGTGAGATATTTAGCTAAATAAAATGATCCTGCCAGAAGAATAGTTTGATAACTTGTCTGCCATCTCAGTGAGCTTTCATGTAATTTTATCACATGCACAAGATTAATTTAGCATTTTCTGGAGAAAATGGAGACCTGTAGGATGTTATAGATCAGGGTTCCTCAAATCTTGCCCTGGAGGTCCAATGCGCTGCAGAGTTTAGCTCCAACCCTGATCAAACTCACCTAACTGTGATTTTCTAATGATCCTGAAGACATTGATTAGTATGCTCAGGTGTGTTTGATTAGGGTTAGAGCTAAACTCTGCAGGAAAGTGGATCTCGTGGGCCAGATTTGAGGATCCCTGCTCTAGATGTCTTATCCAGCTCACATCTCTTTCAGTTCTTGAAGCATGTTCAGCTGTGATGTATCTGGCTCTCTCAAGTTTCCTCATGTCAGTGTAATGTATATAATCAGTTGATATCTACTGTAGCCTACTATAAATTTAGTTTTATATAATTATTTCACAAATGCTTACAGATTATTAAAAACTTATTTTATGTCATTAAAAATTGTATATATATAGTTCCCTTTCTGTGTATGTATCTGTTTCACACTTTAGATATTTCAAAGTAATGCTTTTATTGCTGTGACTCAACTAAACTGCCAGAGGGTTAAATACATGTGCTCATGGTGCACCGATTTCCTGATGCCATCAGGGTGGTGGTGGCACCGGGGGTCTTTAGATGTTTAAACTGATATGGCTTTAAAACACATGATTTCAGCGCGATATACATACTAATCAAAACCAAACAAATGTTTTTTTGGCAGAGTATCTGAGGTAGGAGCTGTAAAGGCATGCATTGATGTTACTTTCCCACCGGAACACGCCCCCTCAGCCGGACTGAGTGGCTATGAGCTGCAGTGTGAAATGAATGGATTTAATAGGGAAACTGCGAGAAGTGAAAGTGACGTGACATGTGGCCAAGTATGGTGACCCCATACTTGGAATTAGTGCTCTGCATTTATCCCATCCTAAGTGCACACACACCCGGAGGCTCAATGCTATATGAAATTCAAGTTATACACAATAATTATCGTATTTTACCTGTAATGGATTGGGAAAAGTAGGCTAGATTCAACATTTTAGTGCAGTAACGACTCCAGGCACAAAAAAGCAAAAGATTATTTTGTTTTATAATGCATTTTATTAGGTTCTTTGCTCATTTAAGTGCTATAAATACAGATTTCACGCACCTGTGTTTTGCATCTGTAAATTTGTTTATTATGAAAATCATATTTTAGAATATGAATTGTTAGTACCATATGACATTATTTTTAAACATTCCATTGATTTTCTAGATTTTAGGCCCTGTGTCTATTTTATCATTTGTTCTCTTGCGGTTCCTCTCTGAGTACAGCAGCATCTATTTATAGCGCACTCGAGTTTCTCCTTTAAACACTAGAGAGCGATGATGTGCTTGTGATATATATGCCAACATCTCCAGTAGCCCTTACGAAAAATAAGTTTATTCAAGTGTGCTATTTAATATACTTCTTTTAAACTAAAAAATAGTAAAGTATACTTTTAGTCTACTTTTTATGTACTTCTCAGAAATATACTTAAAATGACATTTAAGTATACTTGACTTATACTTTATCTACGTTTTGATTATCATTCTGAATCCAATTCATAGTCTTTTTTCATTTTTTTTGTTCAAAATGTTGTTTATTTATTTTTTATTTATGACACTTATCCACATTCAAGTGTTTAAAAAAAGGAATGCATGAAGCTAGAATAAAATGTTTTTGTTTACAAGCAGATACCCTGTTCTTTTGATGTTTTGTATGTTCAGATATTCATGTAACAAAATATATACAAATTAATACCTAAATAGGGACATAGTAGTATACTTAAAGTTTGATGTAAAGTTCACTTAAAGAAAATGTAAGAGTATACTTGCAGTATAAAACTACTAAACTAGTAGTTTACTGAGACTATACTTCAAAGTGTACTAAAAATGCTACTACAAGTATTTAATTAGTAAACTATCAGTATACCTATAAGTTCATTTTTAGTATAATTGCAGTACAAGCTAAAAAATGTTATGTAACTAGTACTAAAGTTTACTACTGTTATACTTAAAGTATACTTAAAAATATACTTTTATATACTAGAAAGTGGGCCAATTTAGTCCCAAGAAGTATTGAAATAGTACACTTACAAGTATACTACTAGTACACTGATATTTGTATACTTACTACATAAAGTATACTTAATAAAATAAACTTGAAGTATACTACTTTTTGGTAAGGGAGTGCATACTGACAAGAAAACAAATAAACAAAAAAAACAAGCAGTAAATGGGGTCAATATTTAATAATGAAAACAGAACATTTTAGTTGAGATTCTGGATTCTGTACTATTTTTGAACCACTAAATTAAACTAATACAAAAAAAAAACTAACAGCAAAAAGAAAAACAGAAAAGATGTGATACAAAGGGCAAAAACAAAACTGAGAGAAGAATAACATCCTGGCAGAGAATAACTGTGAACACAAACAGGTGTGAGTCAGGGTCCTGTGTGAGCACTAGCATCCATTCTGGTAGATACCTATTTGATCATCGTTTTTTGGGGACATTTTCATACACAGCATCCGACTTTGATTTCTGCAAGGAAACACAAACTTAGTCAGGAATCTTGCTGATGCAACATAACATTAATAACAGACCAGCTTCTTCTATAAAATGATTTGCTTAAGTAATACTACTTTAAAAATCTCAGTTAGGTCATTTTC